ATTTACTTACTGAGCCATCTCCTCAGCCTATTTGTTTAAGTTATAAGCACTTATTTCTGTTCTAAAATTTTATCTTGAATTTTATATATGGATATAATGTATTTTGATCAAATCCATTTTCTCCCTGCCCTACAGCTCCTTCCTGTAACCCTCTGCCACTTTTCCCTCCCAAATTCAGGTATTCACTATGTAGACCAGGCTGGCCTTGAACTCACAGAGATCCGCCTGCCTCTGCCTCCTGAGTGCTGGGACTACAGGTGTGTGCAACCACGCCCGGCTGTCAGATATTCTTTTTTGAACCCATTGAGCCCACTTAGTACTGCCAGTATGAACTCACAGAAGCTGTGACTGTTTTATTTATTTGTTTGTTTATTTGTTTGTTTGTTTGTTTATTTGAGATAGAGTCTCACTGTGTATGTATCCTTGGCTGGCCTGGGACTCACTCCAGACTGGCTTAAACTTTGAACAATTCTGCCTCTGCCCCGCTGAGTGCTGGGATTCTGAGCATGGACCACCACAGCTGTCTTACCTCTATTTTTGTCATCAGTGAATGAGTGGTGCAGGGGCTCTTTGGTGTTTATAGGTACTGAAAGGATGTCGCTCTTTGCTGGGGCGGAGGGTGTCAGGAACTTCCGTTCTGGGGCAGTTCCAGTATTTCTGGCAGTAAGGAGTTAGGACAGAGGGAGCACCCTAAACTACCAGCTTGCCTGGTCAGATTCGGGTGCAGGAGACTGAGGGATTTGCCTTTTGTCATCCAAAGTCTGTTTCTTGTAAAAAAAAAAAGTGAGGTAACTTTGATATGCAAGCAAATGAGTTCTCATCAACACCAACCTGAGCTGATTTGTGGGGAGCAGGTATGCCGTTCCCTGAGAACTTGTGGTACAGGTTTCCTCCTTGTGTTACATTTTATTTGGCAGTGCTGGGGCTCAAACCCATGCATGCTAGACAAGTGCTCTATCACTGAGCTAGACCCTCAGTTCTCCAATTCCTTTTGACTTTAGTTGTCTGTGCTTTTTCCTTTTATAATGCTAGCACATGGGGTTGTTGAGGTTGAGCTGCTCAGAGGTCTATGAGTGTCAGCCTAGGTGTCTGGTTAGCTTCTTACCGTGTTCTGGGCCCCCTCACTTGTAGGGTAGTGTGCACAGCTCTACAGTTTTCTCCTGCTTTGCTGCTTTTGCATGGGCTAGCCAACCTACAATTTCTGCCAGTTCCTTTTATAGCCACAAGCTAAATCTTTCCTTCTATATGTAACAGATTTGCCTTCTGATTCTCCTTCAAACCAATTCTTCCCACTCACCATTCCGCCACACTTCACATCTATTTCTAAAAATGGTTTTAAAGCCTTATAAAAATTCCACTTGTGATACTCTCGTGTCGGTATTGCCTCGCTGCTCTTTTTCTTCCTGTTCATTTGGCTCTACAGTACACCGCCGTCAGGAAACATTGCAGAATTATAAAAACCATCCGAGCTACTGATCTTTTATACGCTTTAACCGGGCTTGGTTACTGTGTGTAGAAGCAGTGTTTTTTGGTCTCCGTTGGTTTGGTCTATTCTTTATGACTTCCCAATCAACTTTTTAAACCAAGGTATAATTTACACTTGGAAATATATGCCCCTTTTCACTGCACAGTGCAGTTTGTTTGGGGGAATGTATTGGGTCATGCTATCTCCACCACAATTGATACTCTTTCGAATCTCCTTGTAGCACTCTTCCTTCTCAGGCCTCAGCAACCAACTGTCTTGAGGTCTCTACAGCTTTCCTTTGCCACAGTAGAGTTATACATTCTGAGTGGGTTAGCTTCTTTTGCTTAGCATACTGCATTTGATTCATATATGCAATCCCTACGGTTGTGCTTGTGTCTTTTCACTACTGAATAATATCAGGAACATGATTGTGTGGGCCTACCATGGTGGTTCCCAAAGTATGTTTGTTTCTTTGTTTTGGGCAGGGTTTTGTCTCGTAGCCCAGGCTGATCTTTTTTTAAAAAAATTTCTTTTCCACCCTCTTCCCTTTGATGTCTTAACAATTAAAAAAAATTTTTTTTTATTATTCCAAGGAGAGGTAATTTTTAACACATTTTTCCAGAAATAACTTGAAGCAGGTTACATAAAAATATATATACAAAGAAATTTAAGGCGGGGGAGGGGGTAGGAATAAGAAATCAAAGACCAAAAGATTTGCCAACATGGGGAGTCTACTTTGGTGGAATACGAAGGTTTCCATTAGTTCTGTTCTTTTTTAAAATCCTAATGAGTTTTTTGCGCTTGCTAACAGAGCATAGGGTGGGGTCTTATTTACAGAAGAGTGTTTGCCGCCCCCCCCCCCATTTACAGCTGTGTTGGAAAGTCCACACTCAAATATAAATCCTGTGACTTCCCAACAGCTGCACAAAATGGTGAGAGAGGGGCCTCATGGTGTTCTTGGGTTATATATCCTTAGCCCCTCCCCCACATGCAGGTAAAAAATTAAAAAAAATATTTACACTCATTTCTTTATTTTGTGTATGTGTGTGGGTGCACATGCCATAGCACACATACAGAGGTCAGAAGACAACTTGCAAGAGTTGTCTCCTACAATATGGAATTCCAGGAATTGAACTCAGATCATCAGTCTTGGCAGGAATTTCCTTTACCCAGTGAGCCATCTTACCAGCTAGTCTTGAACTCACTATATAGCCTAGATTGGTCTTGAACTCACTGTGTAGCCCAGTCTGGCTTAGAACTTACTATATAGTCTAGGTTGGTTACATTAGCCACTTTTTCTCATAACTGTGACAAAATAACATGACAGAAGTAACTTAAAGGAAGAAGGATTTGTTTTGGCTTACAGTTTGGGAGGGTGACAATCCATGTTGGCAGGGAAGGCTTGATGGAGTTCATGATTGTGGGAACATGTGGCAGAGGTTCCTTCATCATGGCAGATTAGGAATCAGAGACACAGGTCAGAACCAGGAATAGATACAGCTTTCAGAGACCTGTCTCTAGTGACCTACTGCTGCCAGTTAGGCCCTGTTTCCTAAATAGTCCACAGCTTTCTAAAATATTGCTATCCACTGGGGACAAGAATTCAAAACAGTAGCCTTAGGCTAAGGTGAGCATTCCAGATTCAAATCACAGTGTTGGCCCCAGACTACCAAGCCTCCTGCTTCTGTCTCCAAGGGCTGGGATTATAGGTATGCATAGCATCCCTCTGCTTCAAATTTAAGTGTGTTCTTTTAATTTTGTCTTTTGGCCTTTGGGGCACTAACAAAAATTTCAAGTTTCTCTTTGCTTTAAGTAGGAATAAAAACTTGGTTGCAAATAGGAACACATTCCGCAATTGGTACCTGCCACAGTCCTGATGTTTCCTGGGTCTGTTTTCACTAATATCTCAGGCAGGAGTTTGGCTGTGGGGTATAATTCATCCGAAGACAACTGTTCTATGCATTCTTTTGGATCAAGGGTCTTCTGATTTGCAGTTTGCAGGAATGACCTGAGATCTGTTGTTTAGGATCGCTGTTGCAATTCCTAGGAACTATGTAAGGAGGCTTGGCCCTTTACCTACAGGGTTCCAAGCCTTAAGGATGCATTCTTGATAATTTGAAGCCAGCTAGCCTCATGTTTCACTCCCATTTTAGAACCCATTTCTTTATGTCTTAATGTTTAGTTGTAGACAATCTAGGATATAAAATCCTATAGCATTCTCTCTGTCTGTCTGTCTTTCTCTCCCTCTGTCTCTCTTTCTCTGCAAGGTTATGCGCACTAAGGATTGAATCCAGGGCCTCAGTGCATGCTAGGCAAGTGCCTTACCACTGACCTGTAGCCCCAATCTTAGCGTTCTTGACTTCTGTGTGAGATGAAGCTCCCACAGTTGTGTAGGTTGGATGACAGATGTATATGTCAACTTGGTAGTTGGCCAATATAGAACAACTTGGTCTACCACAATCTAGATAGAGAAAACACAACCAACATGAACAAGCCAACCCAACTGTATGAGTCAAAGGATGGACATAATGTAATCCACGGCAGAGGCTCAGGGATTTTTTAGGTTAGTTTCTCTCTGTTAGTGCTGAGGTTTTAGAAGCCTGATTATAGTCAAGCACCATCATTTCATGATACTCACTTCATTGGTTCTAGTTAGAAATAGAATAAAGAGATGTTTACTGTATTTCAACCCGAATTTAGTTCTTGCATTTAAAGAAGAAATTCTAAAAACTAAGGATAGGTCAGTTTTATACCAACTAGCCTCAGCTGTTCATTAATTAATTGACTAGCTAAGTTTTGTGGTACTGGGATTGAATCTAGGGCTTCAGGTGTGCTAGGCAGATGTTCTACTTACTGAGCTACATGCCTAGACAACCCATCCCCCTTTTTCTTTTTCTTTTGAGAAAGAGTTGCCCAGGCTGGCCTCAAACTTGTGATCCTTTGGTTTCAGCCTTTCAAGTAGTCAGGACTACAGGCCTGAGTCACCAGATTAGCTGTCCTTTTAAGTTATTTTTAAATGGATGAACATGTCATTCAGCATTTTATTATATACTTTGGTTTTAAATATTACCATTTTTCCCCCAAAAAAACTGTTCCTCTTCATTTTAAAACAATTTTTTTTTTTTTTGGTGGGAGGGTTGTTTTTGAGACAAGGTCTCTCTGTAGCCCCAGCTGGCCTGGAAGTCACTATGTAGACCAGGTTGTCCTTGAACTCACAGAGATCCGCCTGCCTCTACCTCCCGAGTGTTGGGATTAAAGGTGTGCACCACCACACCCAGCCTAAAACAATTTTTAAGAAGACCCTTTCTAGTTTACCTGGAGCCCCAGGTCTGTAAAGGTTTACCAGCAGTTTTCAATAATAATGACAAATCAAGATTTTAATTAAAAAGAAAAAAAGAAGACCCTTTGCCTACATTCAGTTACTGAATGTTTTATTCATTTTCTTACTCTTTAATAAATAGAAGTTAAGCCAAGAAGTGCATAGCTTTCTAAAAGGTGCAAAGCTGACTTTTCCTTTTGTCTTTCTTTTATCCAGGTGTTTGCTTCAGAATGGTGAGTACAATGTCTCTCTTATTTGTTTCCACTTTTTTACTGTTGTTTTTAATCACAGAGGTAGAGCTGTTTTCTATACAATGCTAGCCCTGTCCTTGACAGCAAATGAAGAAATACATGAATTTTTCTTGAAATTACTGATTGTGATTTTTATGAAAACAGCCCTGTCCTTGACAGCAAATGAAGAAATACATGAATTTTTCTTGAAATTACTGATTGTGATTTTTATGAAAACTGTCTTTAAAATAGTCTGTTATTATAGCCTCCCTAGTTTTCAGTTAATATTTTCTCTGAATTTAAAAAGTATTCTGGCATGGTGATTCTAATTAAGCATTTGGTTGAGTGTATTGAATATAAATTATGGATTTTCCTACATGTTCTGGATAAAAACCCCTGGGCCAGGGACCTAGCTCATGCTGCAGAGGGGGAGATTTTCTAATGTTCCACGTGCTTCCCATATTGTAGCAGTTAAAATTCCTTTTCTTTTTAGGTTTCATTTTCAAAAATACTCTTTGAAAATATTTTATTATTTTATTTTTATGTGTATGAATGTATTGCCTTCATGTGTGTAAGTGCACCCATGTCATGCAAAGCCTGTGAAGGTCAGAAGAAGGTGTCAGAGCCCCTGGAACTGGAGTTACAGATGGTTGTTAGCCACAATGTGGGTGCAGGGAATTGATCCCAGGTCCTCTGCAAGAGCAGTCAGTGTTCTTAATCACCGAGACATCTCTCCAGACCCTCAAAAATACTTCTTTCCCAAAAGTTACTTGTAGCTTATTCTGTGAGCTGGGAGTCACTATTTTAGGTCTCTGGTTCCCAACCTGTGTAAGTCCCCACCCTGTTCCCACCAGTCACATTTTTGTACTTTGAGATAGCTCTGTCCTCAGCAATTCAGATAGTCTCCATTTTAATTATATTTTTTATTTATTTTCAGACCAGCTCCTCTGTCAGAGCCAACCCAAAACATCATAATCTTTTCATCATACAGTAACTTTCCAAACCACCATGTCTAGTTCTTGCTAGTTTAATTTTCTTATTAAAACTATTTTTCTATTTTTGTTGGAATTTCAAAATGTTGTAGTGTCTGTTTCTGCATGGACACATTTCAAGTTGATCATGACTAGATTTTTTTTTTTAGAGCAGTGATTGAGGGGCTGGAGAGATGGCTTAGCAGTTAAGAATACTGGTTGTTCTTGCAGAAGACCCGGGTTCAAATCCCAACACCAACATGGCAGCTAACAACTGCCTGTAACTCCAGTCCCAAGGGACCTGACAGCCTCTTCTGACCTCTATGGGCATTGCACGACATGGATGCACTTCCCTACATGCAGGCAATACACACATACACATTAAAAAAAAAAAAGACAAATAAAATAAAAAATAAAGCAGTGATTGAGACTCCTGGGTTGATCCGTCTTTGGAACCCAGATTAACAATGTAAGTCATCTTTAACTGATATGAGGGAAAAACAACTGAACTTTTTGGGTCCGAAAGCACAGAATAGAAACAAACGGGTTCTGAAAGAATTCCCACTATTTATTTTTTTCAGTGTGGCTTTTCTTAGAAATAGTGGTGTTACTATAGGTTGCTATGTAGGGCTGGGATAGACTGTATTTTAGAAAAAAATATTATCAGGTTAGCATTTTTGTCTTTTTGGTTCTGAGCCTGAGCCTTTAACAGCTGCACCAGTTCTCCAGCATTTAGCATTCTTTGAATACTAGAATCAGATATGAATGTAGATGTCTAATGATGGGCTTCATCCCTATTGTTTTTTATTTCTCTGAAACCAGTACACAGAAGGGGAAGCAAAGAAGATAGGAGTGGTTGGCTGGGTAAAGAACACAAGCAAAGGCACTGTGACAGGTCAAGTGCAAGGCCCTGAAGAGAAGGTCAATTCCATGTGAGTAGTTACCAACATGTCCATGCAATTCATGAAGCTGTTTTAATGTTTCATTAGATAGTAAGAGTAGTACTGATGGCCAGACTAAGTTTGTATAGATTATAACAAAGTTTACATGTTCTTAGGCAGGCTGCCACAGTTAGGGTAGCATCTCATTTAGGGAATATATTTCCCTCTTAGGCAGGTCTCACTCCCCGATCTGTGTGAATGTAACCTTTCAAGTCTCCAACATGGGGCCCATGTCCAGGGCCCAAGTATTTATTATTTCAAATGTTGGGACAGAAACATAATGCCTTTAGGTTCTTGAAATTCTTAAAGTAGCCTTCAAGACAACAGATTACATCTCCTTTTTATAAATACTTTATTTGCCTAATTACAGGTACATTTTTACTATCAACAAAGGTATGTTTAATGAGCTGTGTTGTTACCATAAGAGTCCTGCAGTCTAAGATGACCAGATTCAGCCATGCGGGCAGCAGTGCCCAGTGTATACATTATTATTTTCAAAGGTTTTGACTTCTCAGTTTCATCATTTCTACTGCTTTCTGTAGCACTTGTTTGTTTAAATAAAAATCTCAAACACTGGTTGAGCATTTAGAACATGTTGGGGAATATGCTAAGCACTTTTTATGAATTACTATTTACAACTATTGACAACAGAACCTATGAGTTAAATACTAAATAATCCATAATTTGTTTTGTTTATAAATTATCTTTTTGGGTATAGATATAAATTTTTCTTACTTAATGTTTTCAGATTTCAAAAGCAGTATTTGTCTTGTAATAACTGAAATAATAGAATGCAGAGATGTGAAGGCAAAACTAGTCATCTGCCCCTTCTGTTTCCTCCTGTGAATGTAACCTGCACCCATGGCCTTGGGAATACCTTCAAAAGCTTTCCCTTTCATTTAAAAATATTTAAGTGTACATCCACAATTAAGATTTCATGGGCCAGGTCTGGTGGTACATGCCTTTTATCCCAGCATTTAGGTGGCAGAGGCAGGCAGATATCTGTGAGATTAAGGCCATCCTGGTCTACATAGTTAGCTCCAGGCTGACTGAGGCTATAGGGAGACCCTGTCTCAAAAACGAAACACCAATCAACCAACCAACCAACCAAACAAACAAACAAACAAACAAAGCATTATCAAATTAGGAAAGAATGCTCCAACCAACCAACCAACCAACCAACCAACCAAACAAACAAACAAACAAAGCTTTATCAAATTAGGAAAGAATGGAAAAAAACCCAAACTTATTTGGAGCTGGAGAGATGGCTAAGCAGTTACGAGTACTGGCTGCTCTTGCAGAGGAACTGGGTTCAGTTTCCATCATCCACATGGTGGCTAACAACTGTCCTTAATTCCAGTTCCAGGGGATCCAATGCCCTCTTCTGACCTCTGAGGGAATTGCATGATGTGTGCACTTACATACATGCAGGCAAGATACTCATATACATAAAAATAAATGAAATGAAATGAAAAGTAAAAGACAAGAAACTGTAAGGGCATGGAAGTTCATCACAATCATGTTACATTCTTAACATGAGGAGAGCAAGGATTTTACTTAGCATAAAAGGAATTATGTTGTGCTTTTTCTTTTTAAACATCTATATTCTTTTAAAGAAATACTTATTCATTTTTGTATATGAGTATTTGCCTGTGTATATGTGTTTGTGCCACATGTGTGCCTGTTGCCTGCAGAGGACAGAAGAGGGCATAGGATTCCATGGAACTAAAGTGACAGACAGTTGTAAGCCAGCATGTAGATGCTGGGAACCCAAACTGGGACCTCTGCAAGAGCAATAACTGCTCTTAACTGCTGAGCCATTTCTCCAGCCCAACCCCTTTATTCTGTTTTTTAAAAAAAATATTTATTTTTATTTTACGTGTATAAGTGTTTTGCCTGCATATATGTGAGTGCACCAAGTGCATGCAATGTCCACAGAGGTGAGAACAGGCTGTTGGATCCCTTGGAACTGAAGCTACAGATAATTGATAGAAACCATGTAGGTGGGAACCAAACCCGGGTCCTCTACTAGAGCAGCCAGTGCTCTTAAGTGCTGAGCCATCTCTCCAGCACCCCTCCCCCCTTTTTGAGACAAGGTCTCACTATGTGGCCCCGACTGGCCTAGAGCTTGCTATGTAGACCAAGTTGCCTCAAACTCAGAAAGATCCACCTGCTCTGCTTCCTGAGTGCTGAGTTTAAAGGTGTGCTCCATCATGCTCCTCTTGGGGACCTTATTTTTATAGGGTAGATTCCCAGGAGTATAACTTGTTATCTGAAGTGTCAGTGTGTATTTAATATAAAATATTCATTAGATTCTGAGTTAGGTTCATTTCTGTTACTGTGATAAAATACCCTGACAAAAGCAACTTCAGGGAGAAAGAGTTGATTTTTGGCTTAGAGTTCCAGAGGGGATGCAGGCCATCATGGTGGGAAGGGCATGGTACAGGAGCATGAGCTGGGCTCCTCACATTGTATCAGCAGTCCACAGCAGAGGGGGAACAGGAACCTTCAAAGCCTGCCCCAGGGACACACTTCCTCCAGCAAGGCTCTACCGCCTGAAGATTCCATAATCTTCCCAGACACCACCACGAGTTGGAGACCCTGTGTTCAAGCACATGAACCTATGGAGGGCATTTCACATTCAAACAACAGAGTGCCTTCAAAAATAGCTATAAAAACTTACATTTCCCCCCTCATTCTGTTGGTAATTGCTATTATTATTCTCTCATTTTTCCTTTATCTGATTAGCTATGGAGTGATATTATTTTCCACCAATTTGCAAATCTCTAATTATTAGTTCAAGCAGTGTTGTGCCTGTGACCGCGTGGGGTTGTGCTCATGAGCTTCATTTTCCCTATTTTTCCCTTGTGATGCTTGTCTCTCACCGATATTTAGGGGCTTTTTGTATATACTGATAAAGACCACTCCCCCATGCTCTCTTATCTTTTTTGCAAGTATTTCCCCAAATCTAGCACTTGCTTATTGTTTTTGTTCATAATAGCATTTATAACACAAACTGTTTTTAACTTTCATAAACTCAGATATTGCTCTTTTTCCTTCTGGTTTAGAAGCAGATTGTGTTGTCTCCTAGATTTTTCCCCTAGCTTCTGGTGCTTTATTTATTACATTGAAGCATTTACTCCATCTGGAATTTGTTTTGTACTCATAATTTTGGATAGGGAACTGTTTTGTACCCAATGGGTAGCCAGTTGTGCTGGCACCATTTATTGAATAACACACTTCATGTCATTGAATTAAAATTTATTTTTGTCATATATTAAAATGTAATGTAAACTAGGCTTTAGATTTGTATTCTGTTCTGCTCCATTGAGTTGTTTATTCCCATACTATAACATGTATTGATTTAGTTACAGTGACTATAGTATTTTCCTTTCATTGTTCTTTAAAATTTCTTTTTGTTATGTTTTTTATTTTGCCTGCATGTGGTAAGTGCATTCATGTGTAAAATGGCTATGGGGGCCAGAAGAGGGCATTGGATCCCCTGGAAATGGAGTTACAGATGGTTGTTAGCAACCACGTGGGTGCTAGTAACTGAAACTGGGTTTTCTACAAGAGCAGCCAGTGCTTCTGACCACTGGCCGTCTCTCCGGCCCCTCACTCTTCTTTTTTTAACATACTTTCTTAGCTGTTTTTCTCTCTGAAGTTTAATATTCTTTTATACACTTAACTGGAATTCTCTTTAATTAATTAATTAATTAATTAATTAATTAATTTTTGGTCTTTTTAACACAGGGTCTCCCTGTAAGCACAGCTGGCCTGGAATGTAGACCAGGCTGGCCTCAATCTCATAGAGATCCACCCAGCTCTTCTTTCCGAGTGATGGGATCAAATGGGTGCGCTACCATGCCTGACTTACTATATTTATTTTAAAAGAATTTCTTTGTTTCATATATATGCAACCTACTGAGTCCATTTAATGTTGCTCATGTGTACATGTGTTTAGGGCTGACCACTTGTGATTGGATAAACTATCAGAGAGCTTGACCCTGGAGAAAACTGGTTCTCCCTCAGTCAGCATCTATTGATTACCAGTAGCTCTTCATCCGGGTGTGGGATCTTGTGAAATGTCCCCCATCCATGTTGGCATGTCAACTAATGTTGTCACTATGCAGACAACACTATGCAGACAATTTAGGCAACCATATTACTGAGATTTCTTGGGTAGATACACCCATTATGCTTTAAAAAATTTTTATTTTATGCTTATGAGTGTTTGGTGTATATATATGTAAGTATATCATATACATGCAGTGCCCCCAGAGGCCAGAAGAGGGCATCAGATTCGCTAGAGTTACAGATGGTTGTAACCCACCACATGGGTGCCAGAAACAAACCCAGGCTTTCCTCAAGAGTAGCCAGTGCTCTTTACCACTGACCTAGCTCCCTACTATGCTTTGTAAATAAGCTTTATGTTTTGAAGCAGTTTAAATTTATAGAAAAATTGTGAATACAGCTGCCATACATTCCTCATTTAGTTTTCCAATTCATATTTTTTTATTTAGTTTTTTTTTATTTTATTTTATGTGTATGCGTGTAATTGCCTGCATGTAGGTAAGTGCACCTGTGTCATGCAATGCCCGTGGAGGTCAGAAGAGGCTGTTGGATCCCCTGGGACTGGAGTTACGGACAGTTGTTAGCTGCCATGTGGGTGCTGGGATTCGAACCCAGGTCTTCTGCAATAACAGTCAGTGTCCTTATCTGCTGAGCCATCTCTCCAGCCCCCAGATGTTATATTTAATAAATCAATAGTGGGGCAATAACTCAGTCAATAAGACAAGCTTGAAGACCTGAGTTCAATTCCCAGAATCCATGTAAAAAGATTAGGTGTGGTGGCACATGCTTGTAATCAGAGTAAAGGGCAGCAGAGACAGGTGGGTCCTTGAGGCTTGCTGACCAGCTAACCTAGCCTACTTGGAGAGCTCCAGGCCAATGAAAGACCCTATCTCCACAAAACAAGGTGAATTGTTCCC